TTGTGCTCTCTGTTTCCATAAATTGTCTATACAAAGTTGAACAAAAGTGTTTATTTTGGGGACGAAGGGCGCTTCAGCTGGCCTTTATAAGGACTATATGCATGAATTGAAGTGTACTAATGTTATGAAGTTAGTTTCAAAACAAAATGTTTAAAATAAAGTTTACGGGTGATAACAACAGCAGCAATAATGTCGATTTTACAATATCGCCATTGTTGTATCGGTAGAACTCTCAGGTCTAAGATGACGGCATAAAGAGGGGGAATGTTGGTAGTTTTATTCCATTTGAGTTTTTTTTGTCTGTTTGCAACAGAAACAGGGAGGTTAAGAGTTCCACATTTTATTGGTAGGGTTTTTAGTTCACTAGGGTGGAGAACGGAAAACGACTTTGACTTTTTAACTTCTAGTTAACTTCTAGACAACGTTTTAGTTGTCGACTCTCGTTCTCTCCTCCAAGCAGTCGCTTCTGAGGTTTGGGACCGTGTCACAGTGTCTCACGCCCTTCTGCCCAGCGCCTCAGAAACACTAAGACGTGTAAGGGCTTAAACAATATACATTTCATTTCTTTTACACGCGGCTCAGTCACGAACAACCTGTCGAACATTTGCTGCCGTTAGTTTTGGTATTTTAGAAAGTTCGATTATATCCAAAATGTAATGACATATTCTGAATCATAGAGGTTCGAAATACCACAAATTGTTTATCTCCATTTCACAAAATCACTGTACTTTTTTATTTATAAAAACCAGCCAGCGATAACTGTGTACGCCAGGAATAAAATGCAGGTTGGATTATACGTTTTGAAAACAAAGATCCTCTATGTTGCTTGTGTCACTTCAATAAGCAATCCGACAAGTAGAAGGAAAAAAAAAACAGAGTTGGACCTATTCAGCTTTCTTCAAGTGTGAAGCGGAGAACCCGTCTGGGTTCGATCAGGACAAACATGAGGGCGAGTTTTTATTAGACTCCGCGCTTACGAGCTCTACGCGTTTGAAACCGTTCCTATCCGAACACAGAAAAAATAAAGGACGACCCGAATAATTGTTTGCGAACAGTGACTCGGTATTTGTGCTCCAATCAGAAATTTTTCCATTATATTATAACGCGCCTCTCGAGTGCGGAAACGTTTTTTTTTCCTAGAAAAAAAAATAGCAAAGAGGTTGGAATATATCCAGGAATATTCGAAAACACACTCCTGGGACTGCTGAGCTACGTAGCGTGCGTATTATCCACAAGCTCTCTTTCCTACCTTTACGTCCAATACATTTAATGAAAATTATTGACGTGTTACAGGATTGAAATACCGAGTCTCACACGCGATACGTTTGTGCTTTTCTCGGTAGAATTCGAGCGAGAAAATTGTCATTACGTCTCTCGAGTAACAAGCCCTTCCTTGTGGTCCTAACTGTCGTACGACACCAAGAACCTGGAATTTTGGAAACTCGCTTGTGTGAGGTACTGGTGTAATTTAAATTTGGTGTAGCACTGGGTTTTAAATAAGGTGTTCAGCGTGTCAGTGTCGGACCCTTTCATATCGGTGATCGGTTTCACCCAGATACGTCTGGATTACCGCTTATCTGGCATTATTTTTCCAGCCAAGGAGTACAGTGACACCACGATTCATTAGTATAACAACAACATAAAAAAGCTACATACCTGACCCGGCTTCTTGGCAAGAGAAGCTTTTGTATAAATCTTGGCGCATTTTGCGAGGGTATTTTACTTTCTCGTGGCCCGGCAGGCGTGAAGTGCACAGAGCCCTTTGTTCGGTGAAGTCATTATACGAGCAACAAGTAGGCAGGAAGTTTGACAGTAAGGATATGAAGGCATTTCCTGGGTACAGTAGTTATGTGCAAGGCTGGCCCTCCGCGGTCACCCCCGTGCCACCCGGGGCACGGCGCGGAGCCTTTAAAAAAAATCTAGGACGCTGCTGAGCTCCTGTCGTTTGAAATACAAAGCAGACAAGCAAACGAAACATTGGTGAATTCTCTTTTTAATCGGTGTCATTCTATTGCCTTCTGTTCGAACTAAATCCCTTGTCTTAAAAGCATCCCAGCGGGCGCGTCAGTGATGTGTGCTGTACATGGGCTTTTCCCAATAGTCTAAATATAGGGCAGATATTATTTTACATTGTTTTTTTTTATAAATAATTTTCCGGCCACTCCTCTTGTCGGTCTCTCCGCCTTCCCTCTCACCAGGACACGGACTTATCTCCCATCTACTGTATGTGCTGTAGGTCATTAAACATATTTGATAAAGGCGTTTGGGGTCATGATTTCGTTGGGGCCGAGGCGGGCTGGCTGTCGGGGTTGGAAGATCGGAGTCTCAGCCTTGAACTTGAGCGTGTCTGGTCCGCGGCGCTGCTCCTTCAGGGCGGCTAGACTCTTAACTTTCAACTTGGCCTTGACCTTGAGGGCTTGTCTGACCCGTATGTAAAGAAGCTCGCCGAGGGTGTGTGTGCGTGTGGGTGGGTGTTTGGGGGGGGCGGCCATGTCTCCGCGTCGTGTCGGAAACACAGAGGCCAGACGCGAGAGAGGGGGGTTTGTTTTCAGGTTTCGGGCCGACAATTTCTGAAATGAATATTTCCCCCTTCAAAAAAGTACCTTGATTCTCGGAGAGGGAGAAATATTCTTCTTGCGCAAAAACAACAACAGAGACATTCAGTTCCATTTTAACCAACGGACATCCCTGCTGTCTCAAACGAAACTCTTTGAAATTTGAACATATTCTCTCTCTCTCAACTCGCTCCTCTCGAAAGAGCCAAATACTGTTCACGTCCCTTCCAATTCTCATTAATGGTTCAGGTGGTTACTATCCTGTGTGTTTTTAAGTTTATGTGGAACCTAACCTCGCATTTACGTTGTTTTTATTAGGCAATTTCCCTCTTATTTGTTAATCAGTGGATCAATGGATTGCGCGGATATTGAGAACCGAATCATAACAAACGAGAGGAATCGTAATTCGTGGCGTTTTGTGTTTAAATATGTAACTCAAATTATTCTGTATTGGTTCTATGATTTAGGTCTGCGTATAAATAATATAGCAGTGGTCACAGTAAGCACATTCTGTCAAATGCCGGTAGTTTGTTCTAACCTGCGCGATTGTAACCACTACCTCGGTGTGGGCTCGTCTCACCTTTTCTTTAAGGAAAAAAGAGACAGGTTTTAGGGGTGAGGCTCTACTCGGACAACCGCTGGGACCAACAACTTTAAAATTGAATATCAATTATATATATTTACGTGCCTTCCTCAATGCGTCTTCTTGACACATAGATACGGTGCCGTCTTTCCTGTATTTGAGAACATAAAAAAGGTACTTAGTAGTTAATTAATCGAGGGATCTCAGCCGGTTGTTTTTTTATTTAAATTAGCAGTCCCCACGGCTTCACTTATTTTTTTTCGGAAGATTAATTTTCAGAATATAGGTTCGCGCTTCATTAGAATTCTAAGACATCCGATGCCATTTTATTCAGCAGTACTAATTTTAATGCCAAGCCGTATCCTAGATTTAAAGCGATTTCCTCGTCTTTAGTACTACGTTTCAAATGAATTCCCAGTTTAGGAATATTGTTATTTTGCCACATTCTGACTGAAACATACAGAGAAAAAGAACCCATCAGTTAACGAATGTTAGCTCGAAAAAAAAGCGAAGCAGACTTGAAATGTTTTTGGCCTTCGGGCAAGAGGTCTTCAGACTACAACTGGTCGAAACGTTACGTTTCTTAAAAGTCGTCTAGGAAAGGAAAAATAATTCCTCTGGAGGTTTTCATATGGCCTTTCTTGTAGTAACGATTCGTGCCATTTCGTTGGGCATATAACAATATTTCTATTGTTATCCACGAGAGCTTGAAAATAAAACCGCGAAATTAATGGATATGTATTGCTTTAACATCTGACGACTGTGAGCGGTATGCAAATTACTTGCACTGTAGGAGTTTATTCCGGCAATTCTGTGCAAAAAGTCGGAAAGGCTTTTGCGCGCCCTCATTTAAAAAAAAAAATAGTTCAGGCATCCTTTGGAATACATGCTTTAATTGTCTGAATTAATTATTTGAATACTGCTGTCTTTGCTGTGGAAAAGAAATGGTTTGATAGAAAATAAGCTCTCCTTTACCTCAATTTGCAGGGTTTTCCTCACAACATGCACGTGGTTCGAATCCACCACAAAAAAATAAGCGAGACACCGGACAGCAATGTCTGTTTTTGAGTGTTAGCTGGCATGTCACGGTCCAGACGATTATTTTAATGAATAAGTATGAATTTATATTTAGTATTATTTCATACGTGTGTATGTGCTGCACGCAATACTCATTGGGAACATTTACAGCGTTTTTAATTAACGCCGCAATATCAATTCTCCTTTTCCATTAGCATTTTAATGATTTTTTTTTTGTAGGACGAGGCGGTGCCGTGGGAACTCTGTTAAGCGCAGAAACGTTACAGTTTATTTCCTCTCCAGACCGTGACGGAAAAACAACATACAATAAATATGGGAACAGATGTTTAAATAGGCTAAATCTGTAAAAGTAACCCTACAGACGAGAAATAAAATTGAAAGAGAAAAAAAACGATGCTAAGGTACTATTCGACTTCACATATGCCACATGCTTTATTTTTGGGTAATAAATGCAATTTTAGAGTTATTTTGCTTTCAACCGCATTTGCCTGTTTTAAATCAGGCCTTAATTTTTTTCATTTCGTTTTTTATATACATATCATTAACTTCAATAACTTTGTTTTTTGGATCATATGCAAATAACATGCAATTTGGTTTCACATAAAAGAATTCAGATGTATAAAGGCATTTTTATACAAGCCTCACGCAGCTTCTGCAAAGCAATAAAGTTCCATTTTCTGACCGATTCCTGCGGCCTGCTGTTTTGCATATCACGTGGCCGCCGGCCGCCCAATGGAGCCCTGCTATTCCGAACCCCGCTCCGTTGCGTCAACTCATCTCCTTGGATGTAACAGAGAGTCACGTTCCGGACCCCCGTCTTTTAAAACAGAATCCTTAGCCCGAATGGTGATCGTGATATGACCACCTCCCTGGTCCTTAATCCGCGCTGGGTGGACACGGTAATGTTTGTGTACGAAAATAACTTGGATGAGCTCAACAAGAACATGGAAGGCTTGGTGGGCGCAGGCAATTTCGCGGCCAACCAGTGCAGGAATCTGATGGCTCACTCCGCTCTCGGAGGTCACCCGTCCACCCTTGTGCACGGCTCCGGCTACTCCGCAGTGGACGTGAGCGGCTCGGGTTCCGGCGAGCCCGGCAAGCAGTGCGCTCCGTGCCCGGCCGTGCCCCAGGGTACTTCCACGGCGCCCCCTCTGCCCTACGGGTATTTCGGCAATGGCTACTACTCCTGCCGAATGGGGAGAGGCTCGCTCAAGTCCTGCACCCAGCCCGGCGCCCTCTCCAGCTACTCCGCGGAGAAGTACATGGACACGCCAGTGCCCTCGGAGGAGTACCCCAGCCGGGCGAAGGAGTTCGCTTTTTACCACGGCTATGCCAGCCCCTACCAGCCCATGGCGAGCTACCTGGACGTTTCTGTGGTGCAGACGATCAGCGGGCCGGGGGAGACCCGTCACGAGACCCTGCTGCCCGTGGACAGCTATCAGCCGTGGGCTCTGCCGAACGGCTGGGGAAGCCAGGTGTACTGCCCCAAGGACCAGAGCCAAGCGGGGCACTTGTGGAAATCCGCGCTCGCAGGTAAGAGGGCGCCCCGGCACAGGCTGCGCGCACACGGGAGAGCCGTGCTCTCAAAACGAGTGGTGCAACACCGGTTTAATAAACCGTGCATTTATTTCTTTTTTCAGGGGTGCAAATTATTAGTGACGTGTAGGTGCATGCGTTATTGATGACACGTGAAGGGTTTTTTTTTTTTGATTGCTCGTTGAGTAATTTTAAGTTGGATTTTTTCCCCTGCGCTGTTGAATTGGCACCGACCCGAAAGACAACAATCGCTTCATAATCAAAGACGAGACTGATTTTTTTTTTGTGTTGTTGCAATTTCTGTTCGCTCACTGGCGCGTTCGCGTGGCTAGCGTTTTATAGGAAAGCTTGTTTCAGGACCCTGCAGCGAAACAGGTTTCCAGTGAGGTGTCGTTACCGGGTCTAAGTCGGGTTGGCAGAGCGAGAAAGACCGCGGTTGTCTCCCGGTAGTCAATGTTTTTTCCCTCTTTCATTCTGCAGACGTGGTGGCTCACCAGCAGGACGGCAGCTCCTTCCGCCGGGGCCGAAAGAAGAGGATACCCTACACCAAGGTGCAGCTCAAGGAGCTGGAAAAGGAATACGCCGCCAACAAATTCATCACCAAAGACAAGAGGAGGAAGATTTCTGCGGCAACCAACCTGTCGGAAAGGCAGATAACCATCTGGTTTCAAAACAGGAGGGTCAAAGAGAAGAAATTCGTGGCGAAAGTCAAATCCAGCACCCCTTAATTACCAATCTCGCGCTTCAGGTTTGCGCCTGGGACTTTGGACTTTAATTGCTCTTGATTTAAAAAAAATAATAATAATGATAATAATCCTCGCGCGAGACAGAGAGGGAGGAGATGTGATTCGACAGAGAACTCAGTTTACTGTTTTTTTTTTATTGCCAGTTGAAATGGTTTAAGCGAAGGTGCCTCTGTTACAACGATCTGAGGATTTCTGTATGGTGAATCACACGGACTTAACAGAGCTAAAAGGACTGTAAATACAAACATTTAACCATGCCTGCTATAAAATACTACTCGTACTTTCTTATGTATTATGCCTGTCTAGCGGATTAGTTGTGCCTGTATTATTGCTGTAGTGTAACCGACCCTATTATGCAACGAGTCCTATTCCCAGATATACTGCTTAGCACTTGTAAAACAATATGCGAAATTAAAATGCTAATAAAAGGCCTATGTCCGCGAGTTTAATAAAATACCCTTTTTTTAAAAAAAAAATATTATTGTCACGTTGAATGTGTGGTCATTTAGAAGGAGCTTTTTGATGAACCTGAACGGGTTACTCTTCGAAACCCAACCGGCTGGATCGTTAAAGGGAATAACGACATACCATTAGGCTTGTCGAGGTTTATATTTAGGAATTACTTCTAAAACAACGCCTTACCATCGTGTCGTGAGTTTTGTATGATGGGTGCGTTTTGAGAGATTACAGTTTGAGATGTGAAATTAAGTGGTATTTTTTTGTAATTCTTAACGTACTTTTAAATATTGTCTTACATAGGCCTACATCCATGCGGTTGCAGATGAGATATACTCTTATATGTGATGCATATATTACATATTTTTATACATGCTCGCATGTTCCTGATAAAACAGTGATAACGGGGTCATTGGTGCAGAACCACCTTCTCGAGGTGAAAAAACAGAATTCGATTGTTGTCGTTACTTTGTCCGATTTGGCGTATTTGCAGGGGAACGCGTTACGTGTCCTGACTGATTTTAAGACTTGCAGATGAAACCGCATTCCAGACGAAAAAGCGATTTTAGCATAACTCAAAGATCGACTCTCGTCTGCGTTTTAATTTCGAGCGAGTGAACTAAATCTCATCTTGAAAACCGCTTTCAATACGATTTTATCACATCCCCGGTGCTCAGTTCACACACTTCCAAAGCCGAATGAGCTTTTTTGTCGTAGCGTTTTTAGAATATTATTTCAGGAAGAATCTGTTTTTTAAAATCGTTTTTTTTTTATTCTGAAAGTCAAAAGCGATCTTTTTTTTTCTGATTGTTAGGGTCGTATTTACTCATCCAGCGCTGTTCTCGGTGTCGGTCGCCATTCCTGATCTGTAAAATAGCCGCGTTCGGGTGTGCAAATCCTATTGCTGTAAAAAGACGCCTACGGGTGCGACGACAGAGCGATACCTGCTCGGTGAAAGTGGGGATTATGGTGCGCGATTGAGTTAAATGTGGATGTAAAATCGCGTTTCTTCCGCTTCCCTGTGCTGCTCTTTGTGTGTGTGTGAAGTGGTATCTCGCTCCCAATATTTACAGCCCGCTCCAGCGGCTGCTGCTCAGCGGGGCTCGGGCAGTGTTTGATGTCGGAGGGGAGAGAGATCAGCCCAGACAGCGACTCTAAATCAGCCCTCGACCTTGACCTTCAGCATCACGTGCCCACCAGATAAGCAGTGACCTCGGCTCCCTCGAATACCTGCCTAACCAAACCGGGCCCGCAGTCCCCTCCTCGCCGCTCGTATACACGGCGTTCCGTTTACTTTCGCATTTTTTTTGTTGTATTTTACTTTAAAAAAGAATCTGCGTGTTGATTAACGCCTCTGCCCGTTTCCAGCTGGCCCCAGTGACGGGTGTGAGTTGCGCGTCGGGTACGACCGATCTCGCAGTGCGTTTTGAGCAGGCAGCAGGACGGCCTTCTTCGAAACTTTCGGTCTCCTAAAGAGTGAGTTTCCCCGCATCAGCAAAAGGAACTGTAAATAATACAGGGTCTGAATATTTGCGTCGAGGGGACTCAGACTGTCCCTAAGCCCAGTCGTATACGAAAACCTTAAACCATCCGTGTAAGACTTGTTTCAAAGTATTTGAGCGAACTTGAACATTTTCAACTTCGTCGGTTCGTGGCTTTGGGGTGAAACATGCGCGATATCTGAGTTTTTTTGGGGGGGTGGACGAAACTAGAAAGGTGGCAGTCCCGCCGGTAATGTGTTCCACGGCGTTTCATGTGGAGAATTTATGAATATGTCGATGCTGGAGCAGTTTAATTGTCAGACAGTGAACAGAGCTGGGGCGCTTCTTGAGAACCAGGCACGGCAGGCGCGTCTGGATTAGTTTAGGTGTTGGAAGGCCATCGATTCACAGGCTTCTGACTTCACCTTTCCTCTCTCCTAATCTTTGTAAGTTCTCCTTCTCTTTCTTCGCATTTGGGCTGAGATAAGCGGCTCTTCCCCCTGTTTATTCTACGTCCAAACCGAGACAGCAATAGAGAAGGAATACGCCTCATTAAGTCTGAGTCGTCTTTCTGAATTATAAGTACAAGTAGCTACATTATACCAGAACTAGACCTAAATCTTCTGACCTCTTTTTTTCCCCCTCCAGTTGAAGGTGAATATTCCGTTTGCCAGCCGGCGTGTTTTAATTAAAACAGTCTGTTAGCAGGAGGTGTGAATCCGTCACCTCGGCTGTTAGGCGGAAGCCACAAGTGGGGGTTTCTGATCTGGGTAAAGTATAAAACCAGTGTTTCGCATTTCACATTGAACTATCGTGAAGAAAGTGGAACTCGGCGTTCCGAGACAATACTGCCATGTGTCCCAGAAAGTTATTTTCCTCAGCCAGGTGAATTACTACTGCTCTGGATGTTGCAGTGTTCTAGGGGATATTAGCTCTGTGCAGGGCTAATGAATATCGCTGTTCACAGACTCTGGTATTTGACGTAACTGAGCCGATGAGGTCCATGTTATGACGATTGTAACCGTGATTTCAGCCTGTTCAAGCCATCACATGGCAACACCTAGCCAACCAGAAAGAGTCCTTATTTTGTCTTTTCCATTATTGAAATATCCAGGAGGTTTAGACGGGGGGGAGAAGAGGAGGAAAACAATTTCGGAAAACCATCGCGGCAGCATTAATTACAATTAATAATACCGGCAATTAATAAGGTTCATTTGAGATTTAGTGCACACATAGCGTCACAGGGCGCTCTTCTGGGCTCATTGAAGCTCACAGGGCGGCCACTAAAGGCAAATGTACTGGAAGAAGCCGTCTGACTTAAGCAGAAGCCATAGACTGGAAACAGACATGCCCGTGAGTCCGTTCTGTAAGTACAGGGGTGAATCCTTTCAGCATAACACACTTATCTGTATCTTTCTTAATCAATATATCTCAAAGTTGGCAGCTTTCTGATCTCTGTGAAACGGAAGCGTTGGTCCAATAAAATTGTCGTCGCTCTTTTTAAAGAGCGGGGGATTTTGTCTCCAAATGTAACTTGGAAAATGTGAAACTTGGGAGTCGAAATAAATGAACGCGAAATTTTTACCCCGCTCATTTTCTGAAGTTTCTATTATTGTTGTTTGTTTTTCCCCAGAGGGGTGTAGTATACTCGGTATAGAATACTAACCCCTCTCTGTCTACAAGCGGGATGCTGATGAAAGCCAATTGATTTTATTTGAAGAGAACGTTTCGTAAATATACGTTTTATGGCTCCGCAAATATTATTTTCGTTGTTTATTTTGGTTCAGTCACATTTTTGCCGAAGTTAGCAACGGCTACTTTGGGTGACCAGGCCACAGGAACGTGTCAAGACAAGTCTCGGCTTCACAGCCTGGTACCGGGAGGCCTCCTAGTAACAGTGTGCTTCTTGCTTTTTAACGTTATGAATTATTATTTTTTATTTTGTAATGTATTCTATTGACGAATAGGTTCTCGGGTCCCAGAATGAATTCTCACCATATATTAAACAGCAATGAATCCGGCAAAATACAAGTATCAGAAACGAATGCAGTTATGAATTGTCTACTTCTTACTAATTATGCGTGGCTGTTTGTAATATACACGTACTGTGAAATATCCTTCTATATGAGGTAATTACTGCTTTTGTGCGTATGTGTGAGATGCTGTTAATGTTTCTCCGAGCGTACTGACATACAGAAAGAAGAGTGTGTGGTTTTTCATTTGTTTTTGTCAAGACCACCTTAATTTTTTACCACAATTATTTACAGCCATGGACACACGGCTAAGTAAGTCACTGTAATTTATATATAAAAAAACAGCCTATGCTGTTGATAAATCGGTTTCAGATCTGGGAGTGTTTATCAGTCTCTGTGGGTAAGAGTCGCTCACACCTCGCCCCAGAGCTGCAGGACATGACCAGTCAAGTCCGAAACGCCTGCCGCCGACAGTTAACATTGAACTTGACAAAAGCATTCAAACCCGCTTGTCTGTCTGCTCTCCTGCCTGTTTACCCTTGATGTTAACGACTTTTCGACACACAGAGTTACACTCAGACAAAGTCAAGATGCACACCAGTGAAAACAAAACGTTTTGTTAAATATCCAGGCTGTAGGCTCCAACGCCACAAATAGATCAAGAATGTTGCGCGGTAACCGATGGGCTTCAATATCGCCCCAAGATTACAAAATCTAGTTCACTAAACAAAATTCTCATTTCCCCCCAAAACCCCTGGCTTCCAACTGCCAAAGTCCTTTCAAATGTTGTCTAACGACCAATTAAAAATGTACCCCCCTCGGCAAGGGGGAGAAGTGTACATTTCCTAGACTAATCGCGCTGTTCCAGTTCCAAACAATATTTCTCACGTTCATTTATCCAGAAACGGGAGGTTGTATAACTCATCCTTTATCGCCTGACCCTTCTTACAACGAGGGCTCCCCTATGTCAGGTTTCGTTAAGCAAGACACATATTCACCGCAAGAACGGGGATATCCTAACTAACCACGAATTAGTCCTGCCTGACGTTTTTCTCCTGTGTAATGAGGACGCTCCTGATGGTCACAACAGTGATGATAATACGGCCCGGGACTAGCTCAAGATTCAGTTCTTGACACCACCGCTCAATGATACTAATTAAGAGGGATTCTCGTGCATAACCTGCTTTTGTCAAATTCGCTTAAAAAGCAGTGGCTGACTTTGATATCTGTATCTTCTCAAGGTTGTGTATCCTTATGTATTAGATGCCGACGCTTGGAAAGAGCGCATTGATTTTTTTCTCCTCCGTTCGACGGAGTTGTTATTTTTACGAAGAGAATTTGCTTTCAAGCACGAGGACGCGCGGGAAAAAATTGCTTTACTGTTTTGTTTCGTGGATTTTTTTTTTACGTCGCACTAATTTGGCACACCGCAATAACCGCACGCGTTTGCGGCGATGCCACCAGCAGCAGCAAACAACACACATCTTCATCGGAGAAAAAAATCCTGGGTTCAATTCCGACTGTGGTCACTGAGAGAG